CCCCTCTCCCCTCGTGAGTGAGTAATTTTTTACTGACCAACTGGACAGGTTTTTCATCACATATCTCTTACGATTAGGCAAACTTGGGTTGCGTTTCACCTAGATCGCTGGACGATCACGATTTATATTAGCGCGTAACCTCACTGTACCTCTCTACCCGATCTTTTTAACTATAAATTACTGATTATCGTCGCATTCCTCATTAGCTCCTTCGAGTTATGTGTATATATGTCACAATAGGGTAGCATTAACTGTAGTAAGATAACGTGAGACTAGTCAATATTTATTTATTTTTTATAATTTTAGGATTACTCAATCCATAGTCCTGATTATTTCAACATTGTTGATTTTTATTTTTATGTTTTTATACCATGAATTTTCCTCTTATCCAGTGAAGTTAATTGATATTGAAATACCGATGATTATCGCTCGCCATCCGAGAATTATTATAATTTTGTAAATTGTCACAAATTGTTATTACGATTATTATTATTGGAATGAATTATGATTTACGGATATTGTTTTATTTGTTCCTTTGTCGATTCTCCATCGTGATTGAATTGTTAATAATTAGAGAATGCGAGCGAGTGAGAGAAAGAGAGAAGCGAGCAGAAAAAAGAAAGTAAATTGAAATGAGTGTATGCAGTGTGTATGATTCGCAAACGAAGAGATATTTCATTTTATTTTAATAGTAATAATTCTAATAACAATAGTGAATAATAATGGACAAAATTTTTTGAAAGAAAACAAAAACACCGAAAAAAACAAAATAATGAAAAATAAAAATTACTTTGCTGGAAAAAAAAATTGACAAGGAGTGGTTATTCAACCCGGTTTCACAATCCCCATCCCTTTTAATCCACCATTTTTTGACGTTACCATTGTTACAACAGGTCCGGGGTACATTAATTCACGTTATATGCCTGTGGAATAATGCATGCAACGCCGTAGTAAATATTTCTCAGTCTCGTATCGAAGAAAAATGGAAAAATCGTTGAGTGAGTGGGAGAAAAATGAAAGAAGAGAGAAAACAAATCCTCACGGAAGATTGAAATTTATTAGATATTCTCTCAGTGAATTTCCTGTCTGCCCTATTAATAATTACAGTGAACATTTGAGTTATATTTGCCAACGCGGAATAACCACTTCCTTCTTCAAACATAACTGAGTCCTCCATTCGTACAACTGAATAGGAAATATCAGATTACGAAGGAGATAGTTTATTCAATGAATTTTCAAGGACTAATTAAATTATTCAGACTGAGAATTAAATTCGGATGGAAACAGTGGGCTTTGAATGACACCATTCTTTTTTTTCATTTCTCTCTCATTTCAAGTTTTATTCATTTGTGTTTGAAAACAGATGCTCGATGTGAAAGAGGGTGGCCGAGGTCTATTCGTATGTAGCAGTCCTGGACCCGATCCATACATATCCCAGGACCTCTACAATCCCGTGTACGAAGAGCTGAACAATGGTGAGCATTCCCC